TTTCATCATGTTATCTATGTAGTTGGTTTCTGTGTGGTGCTTTTTGATAGAGTGTATGAGTATTAGGTGTTCTACTTCAAGTTCACAACTCTAGAAGTTTTCTCATCCAAAGGACTCTTGGTGATCTTCGACTCCGGTTCCGGCGCTGACTTTATCTCTGAGGGTTTAGGGTGTATACAGGGTTTACGGTGAGTTCCCAGGGTTCTACTATGCCTTCTTTCAACACAGGCTCGGGCTCAGGGTTTTGTTAAGGGTACCTAATTTACAAGAACAGGGACCTTGAAAGGCCCCTTGTTAACCCGACATCCTACCAAGCCCCAAACCCTAAAGCCCGCAAACTCATGCCCCCTCCCCCTTCGATCCCTGCGACCCAAACAATGGCACTTGCTCAAAGGCCTGGAACTTTGGCATTCAGGGTTTCGGGTTCATGGCGGCATATGACGGCTTGGAGCCCTGAACCCTCAACCCTGCACCCCGAACGAAAGTCTGAACCCCGTGTCTGCAAAACTTAAACTACAGAAAAGATACCTGGAGGTGGAGACGTCCCTTCCGACACGTTGAGGGGGTCCATGGCCTCAATCGGCCGGCTGAGAGCATTTTGCTAGGGTTTCAGGCTTACTGTTTAGGGTTTCGGTTTTCACTCTCATATTGGCTCAGTTATGTGGTGTAGGGTATTCTAGACTTGCAAAGCCCACTTGGAAAAAGTAATGCATTTCGGTGGCTTTGGTGCTGGTAAAAATGTAATGGGAACCCAGAAACAACAACAAAAGTAAACACAGCACCACTGAACAACCTAGAAGTAGAAACCTGCCTATAGACTCCAAGACGTCTAGAATGCTGCCCTGACCCTGTAAGTTGGCGTCAAAGGTCCATAGGTCCATAAGTAATACCCGAGCCCCGCAAAAAGAAATTCTTGCTGCTGGGGAGATGAACACAGAGTGAGCTGGTCAGGGCCGTCTGGGTGCACGGCGGCTTGAACTTGAGGCAGAACAGGGCCCAGGATGTGAAGATTGTCCCAAACCTGTCGCAGGCGTACAGAGTTTGGTCGGTCATACGTTCCTTCTGGCTCAAGCCCACAACTACACATGTACAGTTCGGGTTTTGATTCTCCCACTTATGCACCCTTCCGGAGTCGAGGGTAGAGCTTTCGAGCTTATTAGAAATTGTTACACATGAATTCTGAGAAGCCCTAAACCCTAAAAGACCCATTTCGGGACTGCTAAGACTCCGCTTTTTCCCTCTGCGCCGCGGAGGCCAAAGGCGCTCGTCGTGAAGGGCCGCCGCTCCTTAGGGCTTAGGGTTTAGGATTTAGGGGTTTAGGGGTTTAGGGTTTAGGGTGCTTGGGACAGTGCGGGTATGGAGTATTTCTACGAAAATGGTTGAGTGATAGGCCGCAGCTCCCTCAGGCTGTGAATCGATCTTACTGACCAAGATCCTGAAATACATACGCATGTACATACATACTTACTTCCATACATGCATACATTACATTACATTACACACCTACGTACATACATACAAACAAACATACATTACATCCACACATACATACATTCATTCATTCAATCAATCATGCCACCCCCACCCCTCACGGACACATGCTTTGTGCACAAGAGCAATTAAACTCATAGTGCCCGTGTGCGTCAGGAATGCGTTGCTTCCTGCACTCTGACCTGTAAGCTAGCAGATCATTCTATACAGTAGGGCTCCCAAGGTACTTTAACCACAGCTATAGGGCTCGTGATCTGATTTATGATACTTATAGCCCAGCTGTGGACAAGGACCCACAAAATGCCAAGGAAAGAAGCAGACCACACCCAAAACCCTATACTACCAAGGAGAGAAATCATGGCACATCCTTGCATGGGCCTTGCTTGACTGCCACAGCTGGCCTCCGTGGTTGGCAAGTACTCAGGCTAAGGGCATGAGAAAAAATCCGGATCATCATATATCTCGTCTGGTTGGGGACCCGCAGGACCAGGGGACCAGAGAAGGGGGACCAGGGGACCCGAGGACCAGGGCCAACCCTGCCAAGGACCCCAGGCCAGAGCCAACCTTAGGAACAAAACACACCGGGGGACCCCCTGTTCACAGCCCTACAAGACGCTACTTTAGAAGGGGCCCCCACCCTGTCATAGTGGTATAATAGGAATACCATAGGGCCCTAATATAATCCTTATAGTCACTACTACAGGGTGGGGGGAGCTTCTAAACGCTACTGCAGTCCGGTTATTCCCCATCTTCGGTCCTGGCTTCCGCGATCTAGACCGGTGGATCGGCCAAACATTTTCAGAGCCTCGGCTGTGAAACCCCTGGGCAACGCCAAAACCAACATGCGGGTTGTTGGTCATTTTGTAGGGTTTTGTGGGCTCTACAGGACGTAGGAGGTCCTAACCGAATTGTGGACTCTCTACAGAGACGAGCCCAGATCAAAAACCCCAACACCCTGATGAAGCCGAGAAGGCATACGAGACAGCAGTCATACTGCCCCACCTGTACGAGACTGCTTTATCCGGGAAGTAAAGCGCCGAAAGTGGTTTCTGTTGGGAGGGGTAAGGCTCACGCGTATTTGAAGGTTCAGGTTACCTGGACCCCAAAAGTATGTAGAATAATAGCCATAAAAATATATATATATATATATTTATATTTATATTTATATATGGTATTGGGCCATTATTTCACCTACTTGTGGGTCTAGGTAGGAGCTTTGGGTTGACAGGTTTAGGTCAGCCTGGATCTCCACACACCCTTTTTCCGCGTGTGTCACACACTGCTCCATGCTGCGGAAGCACGGAGGTAGTACGAAACGAGCGTTTCAAGGCCGCAGCTCGAGCCACCGAGAACAAGGCTCGAAAAGGGATCACTAAGGTGCATTCGCCGCATGATGATGCTGGCTCACATGCCCCCCAGAACGGTCTTGGCACGGATAAGGCTTTCCTGAGCGTGCTCCCACAGGCGACTTCGCATCCTATTACAAAACCAAAACCCTACGATCCACGGAACACCAGAGAAAACAGCATACTGTAGAGGCCTTCATAATCAACATAGGGTTTTGGGGCACATTATACCATACTTACAAGAAGGAACCCCAAAATTGCATAGGTGATTACCACGGCCCCCTAAAGTAGCTGAATGAAGGCTAGTTTCCTTCTCTTCGGTGCGCGCTTGCTCTCGCAGGTCGAAATGCTCCAGGAGCCTGAGCCATCAGCCTCCCTTTGCAAGCACCGCAGCTCCATAAGGGATCGAAAAGGCTCGATTCTATACTTCTAGTCACTCTAGTCACGGGCTCTAAGTGAGTTTACAGCACCCAATTGCGCCCACAAGTTCAGATTCGGGGTATTTAGCGATTAGCCCCAAAAGCAAACTATCAATGTATATCAATGTGCAAAACCCTGAATCCTGATGTCGCCAGAGGGGCCAGTCACACTCGCTGTGGAGCTCGGAAGTGTACTTCGCAGCCGCTGCAGACTCCTCGTGCGGCTTAGGGGCTGAACTTCTCCTTCTACACAGTGACACAATCCCCTCTAGGGCATTCGTCCAAACTGAGTCTCAGAGTTGGGAAGCTCAGAAACTGCCAAACCTCAACCCTAAGCACCGTCAAGCTTTCACATCCGTCCCAAAGCCGTATAACGTAAACATCCAGCAATCTCCTGCGTCGTGCCTGCCTTCTCTTTCTTGTCGTCGTTCAGGTCACCTTAATTCCCCACTTCATGCGCACGTGATAAAAACCAAAAAGCTCAGAGCCTAAATTTAATAAACCCGAAACCTTTTTTCAGCACGGACTGAGGTGCCGACCCGAAACCCTAAACCACTAACTCAAAAAGCCTGAGCCGCGCACGTCAACAGCTCACACCCTCGTCAACTGCTGTTCGAAACCACAAGCTCCTGGGACAGCCCTGAAATCGCTCAGGGTCTCTATGACGTCATTACCCATAGAATCCAGAGTAGTTCCTGTTTGGGTTGATATTTAGGATCCTATATGATACTCCACAAAGGGAGTCATTATGGAGCCTCTAGGTATGAAAGGGCTTTCTACTGAAGGCTCTCTATTCAAGAGGTTCTTTATAAGGGCTGTATAACTCTAAACCCTTTTTCCCTTTTCAACATAGACAGGGGTGCCGACCTGCGCCCCCTGTTGAAGGTAAGAGCTAACCCTGAACCCTAAACGCCTATAAGCCATAAATCCTAAACCCCTACACCCTAACTAAACCCCTGAACCCTAAACCCTAAACTCCTAAACCCCTACACCCTAAACCCAACCATAAGAGTTCATTGATCAAACCCTAAATCCTAAACCCCTTTTTTATCCTAAACCCCTACACCCTAAACCCAACCATAAGAGTTCATTGATCAAACCCTAAATCCTAAACCCCTTTTTTATCCTAAACCCCTACACCCTAAACCCAACCATAAGAGTTCATTGATCAAGTCGCTCTCGAGGTCGGCTTTGTCCTGAGCCTTCGAAGCAGCGAGAGCCATGTCTGCCTCGCGCTTCCTCAGCCCAGGAAACTCCCAACTTACCCAGTATGAGGGTTTAGGGTTTAGGGTTTGGGGTTTAGGGTGGGTTTAGGGTTTAGGGTTTAGGGTTTAGGGCTTCTGATTTGAGTGGCTCTCAAAATTATGGTCCCTTTTTGAGGTACCCTGAATGATGGGTGCTGTACTAATTTAGGGACCCAAAAAAAGGAACCCTAATTTGGACAACCACCCATATGAGGGTTTAGGGAGTAGGTGTAGGGTTTAGGGTTATAGTACTCATTGCGGTGCCGTCTAGTTTCTGAACCAGCTTTACGGCACGGGTCCTGTCATGAAAAAGAAGCAGAAACGCCCGAAGCATCAGAATAGGGCTGTGGAGATTTTTGTTTATATATATATATAATATAGCACCGATCTCTGATCAAATGTGTGACTAATGATTCCAGCCCCTATATTGCCGTCTTAGACGATGAGTTACAAGGCTAGTACAAGGCTTTCTGCAGGGTTTCTGGTTCTTGATTCACGGTCTAGGGTTTAGTGTTCGGGGCTGTTGCGAGCAGCCCAAGCGTCTTGGCGGCATCGGCAATCGTCTCCTGGTAGTCCTCCTGAGCATCCTCTTCCTCAGTCTTGGCGACGGCCATCTCCTTCTCGATGTCGCTGGACAGCGTGTCGATCATCTTCAAGACACCGTTGCTTTCCTCGCAGGGCTTAGTGCTTGAGGAGTCGTTGCTCCTACACTACTGCAAACCATGCCTGGAGTACGGTCTGTGTGTGGGGTATGACAGCTCCCTTGGCGGCTCATGTCCATCTTGTCTTTCAAGCATGGACTCGTAGGAACCCTCACATCACTGCATCAAGAAGCTGAAGATTACCAGTACTCAAACGCCTACATGCAAGTTTCCGGCGATGTTGTAATTACTCCACATACCAACCCAAGATTTCTCAGCATCCTCTGCCAAACAAGAAACTAACAAGAAATACCCAAAGCTCCCAGCAGAGCAACCCCTGGTTTTTCGAAACCCACTGCAGTCTCCTCGCCCTTCTTTTCGTAGGCGCCCTCGAAAGTAGGGGGAGGCTGCAGCACCTTCGTAGAGGTCCTCTGGAAGAAAGAGAGTGCCTGGGTTGGAGAGCGGGGAGCTTAAGTTCACCTCGGATTCCCGTCAGCCCGACCCCCGTGCTTTCAAAGCACGCACCCCAAAATCAACCCTAAGATCTGCAACTACAACACCCGCCTCCCCAAAAATACTGCTGAAATCTTGAGGGCTGAGGCTCATAGGGGCTCTTCGTGGTCGTCTCGGTCACCATCGTTGGGTTGTAGACCTTGTTCATGCGATCTCGGGCGAGCGTCAGCAAATCCAGGGAGGCCGAGTTGGAGGACATACTCTCCTGGTACCTTGAAGCCGCATTTAGGGTTTCACAATACAAGTTATAAGTTACAGTATATATAATCTAATATATAGTTTAATCTAACTAGAGTGTGGGTTTATGCCAAGTTTGCGTAAATGGAACGAAGCTCTTCAATGAAACTAACTTGTCTCGTATCACGCTGTAGAGATTGTAGAAACTTCTGTTTCTTGGACCCCCGGCCCGGGATGGTATCTTAAACCCTGCGCCCCTATGACTTACCTTTGGTTAGTAGGGAATGGAAGAGTGGTGGTAATAGTAGTTATAATTGTACCCCATTCCTCCATTCCCTACTAACCCAAGGTAACATGAAGCCCCTGAACCCACTGTTCAGCATCAAACCTCTGCGTGACAGCACTCCGGCGATTTGGGCTTCAAGGCTTCTGTTCACTAGGGCTCAGGGTTTAGGGCAAGTAACTGGGGCTTCAAGGGTGTCGAGATCCGGGTCGAAACCGGTACCGAATGCCAAAAAGCTCGGCAAAACAGTGGAAACAAGCCTTGCGCGCTGAGTATTTGTTCGAAACCTAGTATAGCCAAGGTGCTCGATGTGCTCAGCCTTCCTGTTCTCGCCGGCCTTTGCCACGGACTCGTCCAAAGACTTGACTCCTGCCTGCCAATACTTGCCGGCGCAGGCTTCTGTAGAGGGTTTTGATACTCAGACTCGGACGAGCCAGGCAAGGTCACACACGACGGTCAGAAAAGCGAAAGGATTGCAGGGACTGTCGACTGGGTTTCCAGCAATTATCAACAGCAGCACTTTACTCCAATTGTTTCCGGTTCGGGGCTTGATTCTAGGGGTCCAGTGGTTTAGGAGAGTAGATGTGGAACAAAATTTGTTCAGTAAGTACTTGTACCTGTAGGTCGAAAACAAAGACACAGCAACCTCAATATTGTCCGCAGTAGTCTCTTTCGAGACTTCTGATGAGAATCCACACGTCTAGCGCGCCTGGAGGGCAGTAACGTCACCGGCGAGCTTGGCAATGGCGGACTTCTTCTCCTGCTGTGTGTGTGTGTGTGTGTGCACATGCGTGGGGGGGTTGCTGTGGCAGCAGATATACGATGTAAAAACAAAAACTGACATAGCATAAGTTTTCTGCGCTGGACATACTGTGAGTTGACAACCTGAAGTGTTGCTGCAATGTTTGTCAATACCCTAAGGCTCTACGTAACCATAAGTAAACTATGCCTAAGCCTTAAAGTACCTATGCAGGAGCCCCATTTGTCAGGCCATAGACTATACTAAGTAGGTACATGGAGCCTTTGTCAAGTACGGGCTGCGCCGATGGCCGATAGCGTCTCGGGTGTCGGGCTGACTCAGCGCTAGACTTACCCAAAGGGTCCTACGTGCTGATGTGGGCTATACTTTCCCACATCGTAATAATGATTCCTAATTATATATATATATATATATATATATATATAATATGTATATATGTATGTGTATATATATATATATATGTATATGTATATGTATATGTATATGTATAACTCTTACATTCTACTTCTAAGTACTTAGGACCCTTTGGGTGACTTGTCCGGCATCCTTTGGGCAGATATAGCGGATGTAGTAACCCAACACGTTTAAACGGTATCTACTCTGCTACGAAGCAGCAGTCCAAGCTAACCCGTCCCCGCTCCTTCACGCTGGCAGTCAGCGATTTGATCTTGGAGCCCAATGATTTGGACTTTGCTGCCACTTCGCGGAACTCCTTCTTGCAGTAGGCCTGCTTGGAGGCATCGTCAGCAGACTCGTTGGCCAAAAGCTCCACCATGCCGTCGATCTTGTCCACGACTTTGCTGAAATCCGCCTGCCCAAGAACGAGGGCATGCTAGAAGAAACTGAACCGGAGTCGCACAGACTGGGCTATCGGCTATCGCTCGTCTACCAGAAACCCTGCAGTACAGATACCAACGCTCAGGGACTAAAAGCCTGAAGGTCTTCCGACTGATACAGAGGCATTGGTGGAACTAACATGTGCTGTTAAATGTACGAGAAATAGATTCTTAATTTTCTAACCATATCCCGCTGCATGTTGTGTGACGGGGAAGGCGTTTCCTGAGACGCCTTCCTCGAAGCGAGCTTCGACGCCTCACTTCTGTGATCCGAACCGCTGGAGTTCTTGAACACGGAGTGGTTCTTCAGAAAACCAACCTTGCAATATACATAACGTAGTGACCTTCCCTTCTCAGCGAGGATTTCTGTGCAAGGCAGCGTAGGCCGAATGCTCCCACTTAAAGCACAACAAGCTCTGTCTAAACAAATGTGACGGACAGCGAAAGCATAAACCGTCTGGATTGGTAAGAAGAACGAAGGAAAATTATTCCGGGCAAAGCTTTGAACCTCATTTTGGCTTTGGCTTTGTTGGCTTTCGGGTTTTAGGTTAATTAAGGGTTTCAGCAAGTAGCCGCGCCCCATCTTCAGATTCAAAAACACCCCAGACACTGCACTGAGATGCACCCTGTGACCCCAAACCCTACAAAATAGTAGGTCATGACCCCTTAATTGGAGGATTATAGACCCTAACCTCCAAAACGGTAGGTTTTCAAGGATCCCCAGGACTGCCTTCTTGCCAGAGAGGGCCAGGGCCAAGAAGTTCAGCTCAGGGTGTGACCCCGCATCTTTCCTCGGTGTACATGCTTTGGGCGTGCCTGGGGCTGGAGGTGCCGTCACCCCCCAAACCCTCAAAAGCTCCCATATCCCATAGAATCTCATAGGAACCCTTCTAGCAACCGCATACAGGCCTGAAGGGCCCCTTTGAAACAATCACCCCAAGAAGAGACGAGGCTCTCCTTGGCCGCGGAGATCAAGCTCAGCGCGTCATGGCGCGACTTCTCGCGGCTGCTCGCCAATTGGATCAAAGCAGCGCTGCGGCTCCTGACAATATAAGGTATGGTGAGATTTCCGGACGTTCTTTGAGAGTGACTGTTCTGTTGGGGAACTGCAGGGTTTGGGGCTGAGAAGAACGACTTGGGGCTTGTCGGGTCTGCGAAAGCATCTGTTGCAGACCTTACAGAACCTGCAGACCTCTCCGGACAAAACAAGGCCCAAACAAGCAGAATCCTGAACCCCTGACCGGAGAAGCGCCAGTCAACAAGCCGGTGGCCCCACTACCCTGGGCAATTCGCAAACGATCACGCAACGCATCGAGGCAGGGCTTCAGTCGGGTGCAGGCTAAACTTCAGAGCCCAGACAGAACAAGCGACTGCCACCCCACAACAAAAAAGGCCCAACACGCCCAGAGCCCTAAAGCCCTGGATCCCTATACCTAAACCCTTCTTAAACGAGGTCTCGCTGAAGTACCTCCAAGTTGTTCTAAATCCTAGATCCTAAACCCCAAACCCTATAATCCCTAAAACCCCTTAACCCTGGGGCTCCAAATAGCCCAAAGTGGGTATTATTTATAGTCTTTAGGCCCCAAAGTAGGTACTGTTTGTATACTTGGAGCCCTAGGGTAACCTTCAGCCCAAAGCCCTAAAGCCCAAAATCCGCTCCTGAAAAGGTCCAGGGACGTGTCGTCGTTGAGAATCCTCAGTCTTCCGCTTCGCTGGATTTAGGGTTTAGGGGTTTGGGGTTTAGGATTTAGGAATCGGGGCTCGAGGGGTTCCTATGCTGAACTTAGAACCCTAGAATTAAGATTTTAGCTGTTTTTTGGGATTATCATAACCAGCCAATAATTCAAAGTTTGTTTTAAGTACCCCTAAGGTTCGAGAGGTTCAGGGTTGTAGGGGTGAGAATACCAGATTTGAGATTTGCGGCTCTGGATTTTGGATTTGATTTGGTGGTACTCCTGTAACCCCTAGCCCCTAAACTGAAGCCGCAACCTTGAAGGATGTATCTTGATGGAAAAACCCTTTTTGTTGAGAGACGGGCTTGGTGTATGCTTGGAAGTGAGACGGCACACAATGACACACACACACACACACGCGCACACACACAAACACACACACACACAACACACACACACAACACACACACACACAACACACACACACAACACACACACACAACACACACACACAGCACACACAACACCAACACACAACACACACAACACCAACACACAACACACACAACACACACACACAACACACAACACACACACACAACACACACAACACACACAACACACACAACACACACAACACACACAGCACACACACACACACACAAAACACACACACACACGCGCGCACACACACACACGATCACAGACTGTCATCATGTTGCACGAACCCTAAACCCTCGTAGAAACCATAGCCCTCGCCCTCACGCCCGTTATGGAAGCCCAAGACCATATAGAAATATCGAATCAGGGATATTGAAACCGTAACCCTACTGATAATAGTAGAGCCTTGAACCCTAAACCCTTATAGAATCCTAAGCTGAGCATCTCAATAGAGACTCTGGGCCCGGTTTTGAGGCACAGACTCTGACCCCTGGCCCCTAAAGCGTAAACCTAACATAGGAGAGCCCAAGGATCTTGACAGCAAAAACCCTTAACCTTTGTACAACTAAACTATAAGAACCCGAAAACCCAAACCCTAATCATTACGACCCGAAAACCCAAACCCTAAACATTAAAGCCCAAGGATCTTGATGGTATCCTTGAGAGCCAACTGCTCTTCGGCTCTTGCCGCCTTTCGTGCTTCCCAGTCGGAGGCCTTCTTGCTGCAGCTCTTCTTCCTCAGGTAAGAATTACCCAGAGGCCCCATAGTAGTTCCTTTTCGGGATTACCTTATAGGATTCTATAGATGAACCCCAAAAAGGAACTACCTTGGGGCCTTTGGGTAGGCACGTTGGGGGAATGCAGGGTTTAGGGTCTAGCGTTTTGGGGGAGTTTCGGGTTTAGGGTCTAGGGCTCGGGTAGTTTTAGGGTTCACGTTCTAGGGTGTTGGGGCGTTCGGGAAATTTTCGGGTTTGGGGTTTAGGGCTTTGGGGTTTTAAGACTTTAAGACCTGGGAGTATCAGAGCGTTAAGGCTTTACAGGCTCTTCTCATCGAGCCTCAAAACTTAGATGAGGGTCCTAAGTAAGTCCTAAACCCTAAAACCGCAAACTCTCAAGCCGCACACCCCGTGCGTGCAGAAAACCCTGGAAAGTGCAGATGCAAGCATCAGCTCTGCCAACATCTTCTTGTCATCCTCGATGGACTCACCCATCTCGCCCAGCTCATGCTTCATGTTAACGACTTCCAGCTTCATCTCACCGATGTTCTGCGGGGGGGACTGTTCATAATGAGGGCTCCCACCTACGGTTAGTCAGGCTGGTGCCAAAGGGAAGTCGTAAGAAGGCCCTCAACCAACTCTTTCGCGTCGATGTGGGCTTTAACAAATCTTAATCTATGTAAGTTCATCCGGACTGAGAAGTCGGTAATTGATGTGCGCTCAACCCTAAACCACCCCCCTCCCCTCCCCTCCCCTCCCCTCCTAAACCCTAAACCCTTCTTCTACGGCTCCTTCATCTTCCTCTCGAACTGGTTCAGGAGGGACGAGATTTCGGTCCTCAGCTCAACTTTCTAGGCCCTGACGCTGCTCTGCAATGGTGGCTCCTTCCTGTTTCACAAGTAATGTCTAGAGATTTAGGGGTTCAGGAGACACCGGGATTCCAACAGAGGCTCTGGGTTTCAATATTCATTCCTATTGGGCTTATTAGAGGACAGGGTTTCCCCTAAACCCTAAACCCCTAAACCTAAACCCTAAACTAGATGGCATCTTATCTGAAATGCTTTGCAGAGCACATTTGCAACAGTAAACATAGCGGCATAGCAGCTTCAAGACGAATCACAGAAATCCGAGAAGACTTACGTCCTACAGCTTATGCTTTACAAACCCTTCGGTGCATAGCTCATACAAGCAAAGCTACAGGCTAGTTCGATAAGCCGAGAAACCGCCAAACGCCTGAAGCCTGAACACTCGGACTCCAAACACATTCCGGCAAACCCCCACAGCCCTTAGTTAAGCCTTCAACTCCTTAAACTATCTGACAAGCCAGAGGAAGCCTTCCCCATAAAGCATCCTCATACGAAGCCTTATGGTATGCGTGAACACCGATACTCACATTGTCATATGCTCTTACAGTACTCCCAAAGGAACCCCCAAAGCACGTCCTGCAGGGGCCTTAATTAATTGTAACAGCTTTTTTGGGTCCCATCATACCATCATAACAATAAGGAGCCACCAAAATAGAAGAGGTAATTATTCAGGCCCCTAACTTGTAGACCCCTACTATAGACCCTTTAAGGTACCCTCTAAAGGAAGCCCAAAACTAGTATAGGTAATTATTGAGGCCCCTATACTAAGAGCCCAGAAGCTTCTTGGCCGTCTTCACCTCTCCGTAAGCTTCCACTGACGTGTCCTCGGTCTCGTTTTCCGCCTCTGAGCTTCCAGCGAGAGAATGCGCGAGAGTTTTTCTAAGGTTGTTTGTGTTAAACGCCTTTTTGCGCCTTGCAGCTAAGGTTAGCGAAACCCACGGTTGTGGGAGGAAGGGTTTAATTAGGGTCTAGGGTTTTAAGGTTCAGGGTTCAACTTAATCCTCGGATATAGAACCCCAAGCAAGCACCTCCGAAAACCAGTTCACCCGAAAATTAAGAATAGAACAGGCCCTGAAGCCCTTCTGAAACCCGAAACTACCAAGCCCTACCGGATAATCCCGCAACCCTCAAGACCCTCAACCTATATCCTCAATCCTAAAAGCTGAATCCCACCTTGATGTCTTCCACGGCCGTGTCCTTGATTTCGGAGAGCATTCCCACGACATAGCCGGGATCTGCTGCACTGCTCTGGCCACTGAGAAAAGCCGTCACCTCCCGTTTCAAGGCTCGGAGCTTGCCGTCAAAGGTTGCAGGGCTCGTTACTTCTTTGGGGTGCAGGGCTTTCAGGCATTTCGGCTTGGGTTGAACCTTCGGCCTTTGGCTGCTTGGATGTTGGACCTGATGGTCGGACTGGAGAGCTTTCGGCAAGGCTTTGCTTAGCGACTCTTTTTGACACTTACTCTCGGGCAAGCCTGGCGAGGTCTGAGGACTTAGGTTCGACGAGTATCGTTATCGGCCCACTGCGTAGGTTCACCCAGCAGGCATGCTGTTAGTGAGGACCCGTGACAAGACAGGAACAACTGCGCAAGCATACTCATCGGTGCCCACTAACAGCAGCCCTCAACAGCAAACGACTAAAACAAGTAACACACACCCAGCCCCTAGTTGCGCTGTGAGGAAGACCCGTGAAACCGAACAGTGTGCTACTTCACAATGCTTCACGATGCGTCAGGAGATAAGTCAGTGTGCTTAGCGATTCGGGGACTTTGCTCGCCCAACAAGAGAACTCAAGTTTACCCCAAGATGACGAAAGGGTGGACAAGCTTCCGCTCCTAGGTTACAAACCGATGACCTCTTGGCATTTTCTCACCCAGACAGTGCGCTGTAGAAGACAAGCGGTCGGCTAAACCTTAAACCCAAACCCTCCAAAATAGGTACAATAATGGCCCAATATCTATGAAACAGGCCATTATTCTACATACTTTGGGGGTCCTAGGTTTTTTTAACAACACAGGTTTTTAGGCTTTTAAAACACCTATGGTAACCCGAAGCCATGGGGGCCTTCTGCTTCGCCTCCGTATCGACGCGGCTGGCACGCTCCACGGCGCGCAGCATCTTCGACACGGACTTGGATCCTTTGGCCTTCCCAAAGGGTCCTATGTACTGTTATGGGGGATACTTCCCTAAGTCATAATTGTCATAATAGTAATCCCTAATATGGAAACCCTACATCCTACTATAGCGGTACATAGGATCCTTTGGCCTTAAGGGCAATACCCTAGGGCTCTAAAGTAGTTCCTTTTGGGGGTTCATATTGAGAATCCTATAAGCTAATCCCAAAAAGGAACTACTAAGGAGCCTATGGGTATAGGGGCCTCAGGAATTAGAAGAGCGCCTGGGGGCCCATTATACTATAATAGTAACAATAATACTAATAATAAGGAGCCCCAGATAGTATTGGCAATGATTTGGGCCCCTATATTCAGCACTTTCTACCATGGTTCTATAAGGGCAATGATTTTCAGGCTTCTACCAGCATAGTACGGGCTTGATGAGGGCAGGACATAAGGCCTTCAGAGGGTTCTATACGGGTGCTGGCAGATATGATCATGTGGGTCTTGTTAGACAAGGATATCGGGACAGAGAGTTTAAGGCTTATTGCTTTGTGTTGCGAGCTTTCGATGCAAAGCAGCAATAGGCTACAAACCCGAAGCCCTGTAATGCCCTTAGCCTAAATCCTCAATTCTAGAACCCATGTAAACGCGGTATAGATGTCCCATAAGCACACCTAAACACTCTCAGTTAACAACAATCCTTTTGCAAAGCCCTGAAACAGCACCCAGTGAAAATCTGGCTTAACAAAAACTTAAAACACCCCAAAACCCCAAACACTAACCCCTAAATCCCCTAAACCGTAATCCCTAAACCCCTAAACCGTAAACAAAGCCCGAAGCCCCTTCTTTCCCTTAGCCTTTTGAAGGAACGCCGAAGCCATCTCTGGGGGGCCGCTCAGGGCCGCCGTGGCGGTGTCGACGCTCTGAACGACCTCCGTCTCCTGGGTTTATAGGTTTTTTTTGAGCCCCTTTTTACAGCTGCACGACCATCCGAACTGTTGCAAGGCCAGTTGGCCAGGAAAACCCAGGGTTTAGCGGTTTAGGAGTATTTCTGGGAGAGGGGGCGATGGGGGGTTAGGGTTGAGGGTCTATAGGGTTTCTGAAGGGTTTTAACTGCTTGGGGTTTGAGGCGCAGGGTGTAAGGTTTACAGGGTTCGTTTTAGGACTTTGTGGATGATTGCGTGTTTCGGTAGTGCCTAGGATTTAGGGAGTCGAGGGCCTCCTTTTCGTTTTTATTTGGTAGTTTGGGTTTGTGTCGAGGCTTATGAGCCCTGTGTGGGGTTCCGTAGTCATCAGGACCTTTCCTGAAAGAACAGTCTGCTAGAGCTTCAGTTCGTGTGAACGCTTTCAAGCTGGATGTTTGTGGTTGTTTAGTCTGCAACCCGACCCAAATGTGCCACATCCTAGATGGTAGGCTTCGAGGTACCCGAAAACTTGAGAGAGGGTGCTGGGACCTAGCACACTACTAGTTGACGTGTGGACCCTCCTTCTGAACCGTATAAAACGGTAGCAAACAAGCAACCACAACTAGCCAAGCATCCTCAGTCACTTCGTCCACATAATGTTCATGCTCCTTTCCACGCTGCGAGGTGGCCGCCTTTAGCGACTCTTCCTCCGCGATGCGATCGTCCTTCGAGGTGGGGCTTTTAAAGCATTTGAAAAATATTAGTAAATAAGATCCTCTTAAGCCCAATAAGGGAAAATATAAAATGTCCCAAAGCCCTACCTAGCCTTGAGCTTCTGGACATCCTGCTCCAGTGCGACAATCTCAGCCTGCTTCTTCTCGATGTCGGCTGGAGAAATGGGGTTGGTCTCCGCCTGCATGATGTTCTCCTCCAGCTCCTTGATGGTGCCCTTGCAGTAACAGTCGAACTTGTCGTAGAGATCGGATTCTTTCTCCGCCTCAGATTCGATCTTCTCAGACATCTTCTCCATCATGGTGATCACCTTGCGGATAGGGTTCCCGCCGTTCCCACCATCCGTTCGGGTGGTGATACCGGCACCTGGAGCAAGAAGCAAAGCAAGAAACACCAAGGTGGACTTCATTGCGGATGGCATGCTGCACGCTCTACAATCTACAAGGGCCGGCGAAACCTGCCCAAAAAGATGTTGCGTGCCAAGATTTCTTTTGAGCCATGACGCAGCATGATCGGCAAGATCGCACCAAAGATGTGGTGTACGGTTTTGGTGGGGGTTCTGGTGAAACAAGCGAAGGGGATCATGTGTCCAGACTCTCACATAAAGGACCATGTATCGATCAAGGAGGCCCCACGGAATCCGAACCGGAAAGGTAGGTGAGTCTGCCAAGGCTTTCTAATCTAGGGGTCACAAGGAACAGTGCCGCCAATCCCGATTGCGTCAACACTTTACACACGAAAGTATGTCGAAAACCAGGTCTGCTGGAATCAATGCAATCAGAGTTCCTTGTCTTTACCGGCTTGCACAGACCATCGCAGACGTCTGCAAGAGATCTGTTTAGGGCTGAGGATCGAGTGTTCAGGCTGGACATCCTTGATCTCGGCAAGGGCTACTCTTCGTCTTGGTTTTGAAATACCCAAAGGGTCCAAGTATCATTATGGTATATACTTAAACCCCCAAAATACCCTATAAGTATATACCATAATAATACTTGGACCCTTTGGGATGTAAGGTGCTTGAAGACTGAAGCGTGGGTTTCTGTAGATTTTGGATTGCCGGCTGTGTTGCTTTTCAGGGGCCGTTTCGCGCCTGCAGAGCTGGAGGCCGGATTATGGATGTAATATGAGCACCCCAGTACTCGGAAAATTAGGCTTTGGGGTACGAGTACTTCGTACTGTAGTATGCTGATAACAAGCCCAAGGAGCAATGTTGATAAATATTCAGTCTTCTATGATGCTGAAGAGAAACCTCATGGACAAAATCGTGCATTCCCTGCGGTGCCCTGCCACATGGTATGGGCAAGAAAACACTGCATCGAGCGGCCCGGATTTGAGCAGCGAAGCTCAACGTACCTGCGCGGGCAAGTACCTCGGAAGGCTTGTTCTGTCAGAGGTTTAGGGTCCATGGCGTCTTGGGGTCTTTGATGCCAGTGTTTAGGGTGGTGTGTCAAGACGGTTCTTAGTCGAAATCCTTTCCTATACACTGAAAACCGCTGCAGAGTGCAGTTCACTGCAGGACCCTCATAAGGTAAAAGCCAGAAAATTGGAATATGATTATCCTAACCCTTCTATGGTAAATTATAGAAGGATCCTACCATGAAACCATATTCCAACTTTCTGGAGTTCCCTGTACTGTATACCCTCTTCAGCTCATCAGCCCCCGGACCCAGCCCAGCCGTGAAACCCTTCGTGCCCTACAAGCGAATATAGGGGCCTTAATAATGAGAACGGGGTTTTGGGGCCGACTATATTCATTATACTATCATTATACTAAGGAACCCCCAACACAGTCTAGGTAATTAATTATTGAGGCCCTAAATAAAAGAACCCCACTACAGACCCTTATGCAGCCCTTTAAGGTACCCTTTAACCCCCAACATCGTCTAGGCAATTATTAAGGCCCCCCATATTAAGCCCTTAGGCGGCGCGCCTCTAAAGGCGCAAAAGCTGCAAGCGCTGTGGAGCTGCTCATGGAAATGCCAGCGAAATTTTGCACTTAATATTATTAACATTACTAGTATTATTCGTATTAGTAGTAATTCATATTACTAAAAATATAATAAGAACCCCAACAGCATGTAGAATCATAGCCTAATCAGACCTTTCGGGGGCTTAGGTAATTCTTCTCTCTGCAAGGGAACCCCCCCACCAGGAACAACATACTTCAGCCCCTTTGTGCTCTGCCTAGATGACATAGAAGCAGCAAAAGAGCTCGTGTTGTTTGCTTCGCCTCCTTTGCACTATAACTATGTGAACAGAGCCAAATCTAGCTTTTACCAGGTGCATGTTTGTCTCTCTGTTTGCGTTTGAAGGTTCATGGGTTGTCTTGAGAAACATGCAAGCACAGCTAGGGTTTCGTTGTCAAAAGGCGGGGAGCAAAGGATTTGGGGGTTGAATCAAGTCAGCACCTGAAAATCACAGTAATTAAGGCTGCAACTACAGACGACTGGCGGGTGTACTGATGACTGGAAAAATACACGGGTATGCACATCTGCAACTTCAGGACGCAACATGCTTCTTCAAAGCTCATCCACGCAGAGCTCGGTGCCACTTTGCACAGGGCACTCGCAGATCACTCTCCCAGCTCATTCAGAAGATGGCCTAATGGCGGCAGGCTGTACTTGCTGCGGAAGTGAGAAGCCAGCAAGGCCAGCGTGGACGGCTCGCATTCTGCGACTTCGGCAAAGGGCCGCCCCCGCTCCAGGCGCTGTGAAAGAACAAGGCAAGAATGTACCCAGTTCATTGTTGGGAAGGGATTAAACATGATCCTGTTTGTTCCTCATTGGGTTTAGGTACTCATAAAAATGTAAAATGTTACCCAACTATGACCCAGGTACGAGGTCTCTGAAGAGCAGAAGTGCAAGCCCGTCTGGCACTCCTCGTCGTAGATACAGCAGCGCCAGCTGCGTGGTGCTCTTGAGGAAATCTTCAAAAAACAGCCCATTCATGAGATTCACACGGCTATGGGGATAGTACCGGGCAGAGTAGTAAAGCTCTCTGGCTGATGGAAAGCTGTTGTTGAGCGAGGTATGGCATCGAATCTGTTTTTTAAACTCCTGGCTTGCCTCCACATCTCTCACAGACCCCTCAGAGCGCCTTAAGACCGTGAGGCCATGACTGTTGAAGCAGCGCAGGGCCAGGAACCACTCGGGATGCTCGGCTAAGAAGCCAATGACAGCTGGCCACAAACCTCTTTGACCCTTGGCTCCGGCTCGTGGGGCGCGGTAGATTGGGTAGTACTCAGCATTCTCGTCGTAGAAAGCGTAAGTGCTGGTGTCGTGCAAGATCAGATATCTCCGTGTGCTTTGCCCTAGCAATCTAAGCTCCAGCGACAACTGTGCGCCCGTGTGCAAGGTATCGATGAATGTGAGGTCTGGAGCAGGCAAAGCATCAGTGCCGTGCAGCTTCACATCCAACGACCCTTGCAACAAGAATGTGTAGCTGGTTGCCCCGCAAGCTGCTGCAAGTCCTTCTAGAGGCGCAATAGTTTCCTGCTTGTAAATATCTATGGAATGCATGCGGGGGGGTTGTGCGCTCAGGAAGGCCGTGGTCGAAGACCCATATTGAACACCGCACTCCAAAACATCATGGATGCCCGGCTCTTCAGCCAGCGCACGGAGTGCTGGCAGATGCTCATTTATGTCTACGCTGCAGCGGCCTGGATTCGTCCAGTTTGTGCCTTCGGGTAGCTTTCTCCCAGCCCAGCACGACTGTTGCTCACCCTTCGTGAGGGCCATGTACGCATTTTGTATGGAGTCACATGGGCCAGGCTCGTCCAAGCCACTCGCAGTGCTCCCCAAAGCAAAGAATGCAAGGAATCGCTTGGTGTGAAAATGGTATATAACGCCTGGCAGCACTAGACCGCATGTTCGAAACAGGGAGGCCCCAAGCAGCATGGCAAAAATCCAAACGCATGTAACAGGGTCCCTCCAAGGTTCGGGGTTTAGGCCTACTGTTTCCCTGCCTCTGCGAAGCTACGATCGAGGTTGCACAGTGCTTTGGTTGCCGGTCAATTTGCAATATGGGAGTTTCCGAAAATAGGGGACCCTAGTATAGTACCCTAAATAGTAGGATCCTTACTGTAAGGACCCTACAATGAGGTATCTACTTGCCGGAAACTCCCATATTTTTTTAGCCTTGTCGGGCTTAGGCGCGAGCTCCATGGCTCCTCCTCCACCTCAATCCCTAATCGTGAACCTTAATCAGTAGAAAACGACCTTGGCTCACAAACCTTAAGCCCTAAACCTTGATCAACCTTTGTGAGAAGAAAAGCGAAGCTAGAGGAAAACAAAGCAAACCGGAGTGTGAATTAGGAGGGCAAACTTCTGAAAACATGGTGTCAGGGCGGTAAGGGCTTGGGGGTTAGTGTCGGATTTCCAGGCAAGCCGCAATGGCTGCGGACGCACCTTGGGACATACACCCACATCATAAGCCCTCAACCCCTGAAGAAGCATCGGATGGAGATGCAGCTACGGAAGATTGGCGGGTATATTTATGAAGATTCTGGCATGATCAACTCCCCTCTCTCTTTGCCAGGACTACACTACAGAGCCTAAGATTCAATATTTTACCAGGATCCTAATCTTTAGAAATATGACAAGGATCCGAATCTTGCGGAATACTACGGCACTAAGGCCCTTCAAGATAGCGACATTATACTCTGTATCCAAAATCCATCTCTGATTCCCCACCCGATGCAAGACGCCCAAGTCCACCTAGTGAATTACAACACCTCCATAGAGGGAATTGTCTAGGTGTCGTTTTTCCAACAAGGTAGACGGGCTTGATAGGGTTTGTATAGGGTTTCATAGCTCCCAATCACCCTTTTCGAAGTCCGCCTGATTGATCATTGAATCTGCAACAGACGGGTGGCTGAAAATGCATGGGAGTTTGCGAAACTAGGGGTGTGCGAAGTTCTACCAGCAATGTGAACATGTGGGGCACACCAAACCCCTTCAGAAGGTTGACCCAACAGGTAAATTTGTGAGACCTCAACCTTCAAATAGACCGGTGAACTCAGCACCAATAACGGGCCAGAGTGCAGGAAAGACAACGTGTTTTTGTGGCATCAAGGGCACAAGGCACCAGGAAGACGGAGTTGCAAAAGGCTAGCTGGTGGCCCTGAATTCAGACGGCGACACGACAAACCCTCGTCAAGTAACAGCAAACTTAACCCTTCCATGATCCCTAACTCCAATTACCCCGAAACCTACATACACTCTAACCATGCCCTCACAACTCAAAGACTCACCGGGGACAAGGAAACCCTGCCGCCTGCACGTTGAGGCCGTCAAATCTGTC